ATTCCTGTAAAATTGTTAAGAGTGGGTGTTTTTACTGATAACCCCAAAACAGACATTAATGAGGCTGAAGTGACACACCAGACAGAACTGGACAAATTTTCCTTTGTGTCTGTTAGCCACACCTAGAGGCTTTTTACCTGAAAAGAAGAGCACAGTGTAGGAGTAAGTAGTGGGTTTCATGAGCTTGAAGAAAAGTCTGTGGCTAGAATTTGGAAAAGAAAAAAACCCTGCCCAGAACCAGCTTCCATTTTGGAAATGGTCCTTGTAGTAGAGATCTGCTTATAAGCAAAAATATCCTATTTTCCTATGATGAAGCCTTTATGAATATTGGTACTTGGATGGACTGTACTCGACTTTGATCCAAATCTCTGTTTGATTCCCAAGGGAAGGACTTTTATTTGCCACAATTCCAAAATAACAATGCAGAGCTCTGCTCTTTTAGCGTTACCCGGCCGTACCAATGTCTTGTGCAAATAAGTAAGATAAGGATTTGTAAAACTAACGTGTCACAGAAGCTAGGCTAATATCACAACTGAGCTAATCTTGTGGGCAGCAAGTAGGAACCTTTCTTACAGTGTGTACATTTGATTTTTATCAGTGTATCTTTAAACATATCAGTTTAAATGTACCAGACATCTTCCCACAGCTAAATAAGAACAGAGCATAGCAATAACTACACTCTTAGTACGTTTTTTTTTTTCCTCAGCCTTGTTGAAAGGGTGATTTTCATTGCACTGAAAACATCCTACACAGCTTGGACCTCCTGCTAGATCCATCAGCAACGAATCAGCCTGTCCAATACCATGACCTGCCTAAGAGAGAATCTGTCCAATATATCTTTCTATTACAGTTCCTTTTATGCATGTTACACATCCTTTCTGCTGTATTTCCTAAAGTGATGAAAATGTCTTCTGACTACAGACCCATTTGCACTGACAACTTCTGAACGTTTCTTCTGCAGGAGGGAACACGGTCTGATAAGAGATACAGCGTTTTGCAATAAGCAGTGCATAAAAGTAGCAAACTGGAATCAGCACTATTGATCTCTATAGATGAAAGCTTCATAATAAACAGTTTTAAAGTGAAGGAAAAGTTTACTTTCGTTTTTCAGAGACATTCTTTCTACTACAAACCACTTTCCTACAATAGATGTACAAAGCATCCCAAGAACACACAGCATGATGTTACCAAAGCCTTCATTAGTGCCTTAAATTAGCAGGTACATCATACCACAGCTTTTTGTTATCAAATGTATGCTTAGCATCCCAGTTTCCCTCCCTCAGCAAGTGCCCTTTCAAATCACAGTTGTATCGTACTGCCTGTAAACAGCATGAACTCAATACAAATGTCATTAATGTTAAGACGACAACAACAACAAAACATGTACCAGGAGAGTTTCAAAGAATTCCAGATCCATTCCAGTTAGAAGAAATGGAAATCTGGGAAGGTGGAAGGAATAGGCCTCCTCTATTTCAGTGGTCTGAATTAACCAGATTAGGACTATGTGAAAAGAAGATTATATGATGTGTGCAGAAAGCAAGGGAGCATTGTATATCTCCCCTGTAGGCTGCACCCTTTTGCTTCAGTGCCCACTGGAGAACCTCTGATACATTTCTGGAAACAGCAACCCATCTCACAACTGGTCTGTGCTATCAGCACTGGGGACCAGTGCAACTGAGGCAGGAGGAAGTAAAATAAGCAGACGGACAGCTTGTGACTGTCTTTAAGTAGAACCACTAGGTTAGGCATGACCAGAGCTATAGGCACAGAGACATCCTCAACAGCTTCCCCTGAGTCCACGTAGACGGAAAACTGACAGTGATGAGTTTACACAGTTCTTTAGCTGGTGGATTTACCATTGAGGTCAGCAGTAATTCACGGATCTCTCTGGTTCACAGTAAAATGGATCCTTCATTTCCTTGATGTACTCACTGCCCACCCTTGCAGATGAGTTTACTTAAGTTTCCTATTATTAATGGCTTTCTTTCAGTACAGCAAAATAAAATATAAAAATAGTAAAATATAGTAGAAGCAATACTATCAGTCAGATATATCAAAAATCTATTTTAATACAGCAGTTTTAAACGGGTGGTTCACAGCTTACTAAATAGGAAATCTGGAAGAAGTAAATAAAAGGGGAGAAAACTGCCACGACCCTTCAGTGTGCTGTGTAAGGACTTGCTCTTCCATTGGAAAACATTTAGGAGGATTCCAAAAGAGTTTGAAAAGCACAGCTGTAATATAGTAACATAAATATCCCTAGACACTTTCTAATGGTTACAGTGCTCCTGTCCTTGTGCTAGACTTGTGGGAAATGCATATTAACTTTGCATATATGCATATAAGCTTTGCATATGCTTAAGCACCTGCCTGCCCTGGTTAGAAAGGGCTTTTAAATATTACTTGAAGACAATACTGCCTTTCTACTAAAGAACTTGAACGCATTTGATAATTGAGTTCTGCCAGTCATATTTTTAGGAGGGAAATGTCAGGAAAGAGAAATTAAAGGGGTTTTCAGGGATTGGTGCGTTTCAGATTTGGAGGAGAAATGGGCTTTGCAGGCATGTGGGGGTAACAGAAGAAGAAGCCAGACAAGGCAGAGAGGTAATTACACAGGATTGCTTGAGAGAAGACAACTGTAAAGATCTTTGCCCACTACAGTAGGTATTTCCTTCAAAATCTGAAACAGGGTCCTCAGTTCTGGGTGTTACCCAATGAGTTTGTGAGGTGTACTGGCCAAGTGCATGTTTTACACCTCAAAAAGCTGATTTGTACACAAGAAGAAAATCCACTACTGTCTAGAGCTGCTGCTGTTGCTAGAACTTTCTGTTGGGACAAAAAAAAAATCTTGTTTTTGTAAAATCTTTTTGGAATATGAAGGCTTGTCTGGAAAAAGTGAAATGGAACATTTCAGTAGCATCCAATGTCTGACACTTGATATCTGGGAGCAGAAACAGGGCAGGGTGCTACAGGAAAAGAAAAGATCTCCAGAAGAAGAATATTGCCCTGAAGCATTAGATTTTATCCTTGTAACTGGCATGAAATTAGAAGTCACATAAATCAGACCGGAACTGAACTACAGTCTGTATTCCTGTGCTGTGGGAAAAACTGACATATTATTTTATTTTACTTTACTTTATTTCCAAGATTCAAAATACAAAAAAAAAAAAAAAAAAAAAAAAAAAAAAAAAAAAAAAAAAAAAAGAAAAAAAAAGATCAAACCCCCACAGAATTAAATGTTTCTAAAAATTAGTATTTGGAAATGCAGAATATTGTATTTCTGTTTATGGAGAGCTCCACAAATAATTTTATCTCCTGTTCCTTGAACTGAAGAGCTTCTGAATTCGCTCTGAGTTAAAACCTTGTCCTGCTGTAGTGCCATCTTACTGCTAGTAGTTACGGCTGAGGTACAAAACATCAGTGTTTACCCTAGCATTTATGCCAGAGTGATGGAGGGAGGTCCCTGGCTGGACTATCTCTCTGCCTGTGACTTTCTGTATGGCACCATTAGAGGGGAAACATCTTGCTTTAATGGAGGACTGATTCTGGAAAGGAAGACTGGCCCATGGGATTGATGAACAGGACATCTAACATCTGCTAAAGGCAGGTGAGATGAAATACCCCCCTCTGACACAGTCTCAGCAAGGCAATTTATTTGAAATTCTTGTGAACAAACTGAGGCTCAAACGCCAAAGGCCAGTCAGCACTGTCACAGGGGCTCATTCAGTACCCTAGCTTTTGGGACTGGGTGTAGCTCAGATGGAACTGGTGGGACTACACCAGCTTAGCTTCTCACCCCTGTATGAAAGCTGTTGTTACTTTTTGCAACGTGACTGTCACTGCTGTGCAAGAAAAATCTTACTGCATTAGCATAGTTTTATTTTTGGGGCTTAATACATTTTGCAAGAAGACCTTAATAATTTACCAAGGAATAGCATGTAAGAATAATTTCTCTGTGAAAGTAATGAATCAGTATCTAAGGGAAATCCCTTTCTTTAAAAGAAGTTAGAAAAGTAAGACACTTACTGTAAACTGTATTTGGCAGCCTCCCATGATATAATCTAAGAAAGAATGCATCTTGTGGATCTGCAGACAAGAAAGCAAGACATTCAAATTAGCTGTGTACTGCTAAAACATCAGCAAACTGCCTGAAAAAAGTAAATTGGAAGGAGGAAAGGGACCAACTGAAAAAAAGGTAAAGGAAGAAAGTGTTAAATATAGATTGAGACAGAAACAAAAATGTAAATGGAGAAAATATCAAAATTCTAAAACTACAGAAAAGAAAATTCACATTAAAAGCAGAACCAAGCTCTGCTCCTCCTTAGTGGGAAATCAGTGGAAATTTTGCTATTGGTTTAGGAGAACAGGAGCAATTTTACAGAAATGGTGGAAGGATTAGAAAGGAAACACATGAAAGGCCAACTGGCAAGCCTGCAGGAGTAAGAGTTCAGTACTGCCTACTCCATTGCTCAACAGCAGGGATAAGGCAAGAGAAATGAAAAAGGAGAATTGGGGACAGTCAGCTGACTTTTGGGATTCAAGTCCTGTCCTTTACTTTTTGTAGTGGATCAGTTTCCATTGCTATTCCACAGGCAGTTCCACTTTGTTGTCTACATTTCCAAACATCATTAAACACTCCATTAAAATATATTGCTGAGAGCTTAGTAAAGAAAAGTCAAAGAGCAAAACATGTATTTACCTTGCACTGGTTAAGGATGACGATGCCTGAGTTCTTGTAATTCTTCTTCTTTGCTTTGTATTTGGGGTTAATGCATTCCCACTGTACCTGTGAAAAACAGCAGTCACTGCTTGAAGGAAAATTTATGTACAAATTGAGTAACTAACAAAAATGGCAGTGTCTGATTTCACAGTTGAATAAATCCTACAAAATAATGGTGCACACAGAAGAAAAAATTAAAACCATTAACTATGCAGAGAATGATCTTAATAGAAAAAGGCCCAGGGCAAACACCTGTCTTCAAACATATGTGTGTGTACAAGGCACTGAGAGCGATAGACAGATTTGTGTGCTGTCGTCTTCTAGTCTTGTAGGTTCAGGTGTTACATAAGCAAGACTGAGAATCTTTTGAGATCATTTAAGAGGAGAAAAAAAGAGGGAACTTGATACAAATGAAAATACTGGAGGGAGCAACCCGATGCATTGTATCAACTACAAAACTGCCTACGCAGTAACACTGGTGTTTTGTATTAATCTCATGATTAGAGAGATTGTCTCGCTCTCTCTTGAAAGAGAGGAACAGTTTCTCCTTTAAGTCTGATAGTAAAATAAAAAGTTAAGAAAATCACTGAAAAGTGCACAAAGATGCAGTTAATTATGACTATATTTGAAAATTATCCCTAAGAATATATTAAAATGCTTTTTTGAAAATGTTCTGATTAGTTTTACTTACAAATAGTTGATGTTACAGCAAAATACCTTATTACTGAAATACATTGTCTTGTTCCCATCATAACATCTCCCAGAATCTTGCTGATATCTACTTCAAATGTTCTGCCCTCCTCTGGTTTCAGGCAGATTGACAAGGCCAAGCTTTCAGACCCTGACCTCTAATGACTACATATTATTCATGCCTCTTACTGCAGGACTGAAATACATATTTGTACATGTACATGCACATGGCATTTGTAAACTGAGATTTGTATAGGTAATGTGCTGTTACATAAGGTTTTCTTTCAGGGCGTTGTTTTCAAGTGCTGGGAGAAAACGTGTAAGCTGCTAATGTTATTTTGGATAACATAAAGAATATATCTCCAAAGGGAACTGGGATGTTCTATTATGCAAAAATCTCTATTATGACATTTTGAAATGAAACCTCTGTCTTAGGTGTTACAATACTTTGTCTATAGTGAAGACCTTCATATAGGATCTGCCTGAGCAAAGTGTTTGAGCATGTAAAATCATTTTTACGTTATGAACAGCCCCAGCTATTTCATCAAGCTCCAAACTATTGCCTAACAGCAATTATTTGGATGTCTCTGAAGTATTTCAAACTTAGAGATTTTGCCAAATGTCAAAAAAGGGATGGCAAAACATATGGCTTTGGAGCAATATGAGACCTTTTCTGCACAAGGGAGGAGGAGTATTTTCATCACTGTTACTGGAGACAGGTGACAGTGAAGAATGGGAAAAGACAAAAAAATGTTCCAACTGCAGGAAGCACATCTGCTTGCTCTCCCAGTTAGCCTACAGCTCAATTATTTGTCTTGTGAAATGAATTTTCCAACTGAGAAGACAGGCAGACGCAGGCCCACATGTTCAGGGGAAATCCTCCATAAACATTTTTTCTCTACTCAAGAGAAGCAGTCAGGCTTAAGAAATAAAAGCCCTTCTCTCCAAGCAAAGAGAGCGCTCTGTGACACAATGCCAGAGTGCAATAAGCTCATATTTGGGAAAGCAATCTGACAGCGAGGCAAAAGCACTGCCCACTTGCATCTTGATACATTGAGGTCTCGCAAAATGGTTTAGCATACAGTTGTCTCCAAACTTATTGGAAGCATTCTGACAGAGAAATTGTGCTGTCTGTATATTATAAAGAAACTGTAATATATAGAACAGAGAGAAAAAATAGGAGTCAGGATTTGTGTTCCTCCCTTTGACACTGAACTACACTGGAGAGACCTCATTGCTTTCTCCTGAATGTCCAAGGTGCACTTGCTTAATTTTATCATCCTCCAACATGAACACTTTTCAATGTGTGTGTTTAAACAAGGCCTGATCTATATGAACCCTTACACTATGCACATAATTCCTCTCCTTGGGCAAATGATTATTTAAGCCTGATAAAAATTATGTTCATGTAATTGCTTTCTGGAAGAAGTTTACACTATATAAGGACCAAAGTGGCATAAAACAGTTGGACTTGATCTTAAAGGTCTTTTCCAACCTAAATGATTCTATGATTCTATAAAACATTACTTTAAGGGACAAAAATCTGTGCCTGTGGGCAGCCTCTCAGCTTCTCTGTGCTAACTGTAAAATGCAACTAGGAATGTTCGCCTACCTTTGCAATGCATTTTGAGATGTACAGATAACAATTCTCAGCAACTATGTAAAGCTATTTAAAATATTCCATGTGCAAGTCACTAACGTTAGTGGCTGATGTGGCTAATAAAGCAGAGGAAAGAACAGACTAGAAAATTCCTAGAAAGTAGGAAAACAGAAAGAATTTTGCACCTATTAAATCTGTTGATGCGCTAGTATAAAGAAGGGAAGGGAATACGAGAGGAGGGGGGAAGAAGTCCTTTCCTAAATCATAGGCTTAAACACCCAATAAGACTGTTTTACATAAGAGTCTCCACTTACCCACCAAGATCCAGTTCTGACCTTGGCAATTCCCACAGTTCGAGCTGAAGATGTGACAAGTATCATTTGAAGGAAATTGTCTGTACAGGCCTTGTCATATCTCCAGCTCTTCTAAAGGGAACAGAGTTCAGAATACAGCTCTAAGCAGGTAAGTAGTAACGAGAAACAATTTTCAAATATTTTGCTTGCACTGTGAGGCCAAGCTCAATTTTCAGTCTGTTCCTACATTCCCAGTATTGATTTGGTACCTGACATTGTTTTTTATTGATTCATTTTTGTCTCTTAAATTAACTTTTCAGTTGAGAGGAAACTAATGCAAGAGTCTGCAATCTGACACTAACGGTAAACATCGTGAAGTTTGGATTCATCATGTTGAAAGTCACTTTGCATTTTCTCCGAATGCCTGGTAGCTCTGAGCTATGCAAGCGCATTCCCTTGTGAATCTGAAACAGAAAGCAACCTGGTTTTAACTATCTCCTGCTAATTTAATGTAAGTACTGTTGCAAATATTGGTAATGAACCCCCAGACTATACTGCTTTGGTGTTTCTTTCATACCCTGAAATTTAAACCACCGTGTGGAGAATTTCTGAATGTAAAACAAATTCCATCCAGTTATTCTTCAATGAAAGTCAGCAAACTAACGCTGACACTTGTAAAGTCCTAATCCTCTCCCTGCTTTAATGAGGAGACACGGATCCCACAGTGGAAGATGTTACTCTCTGCCTTCCCAAACATCCTTACCCCTTCTCTCACCAAACCTTCAGAAGAGAAGAGCAAATGGTGCAACCACCCATGCCACACACCAGCAAAGGGAAGTGGAGGTGATTAAGTGCAGGCAACCATTGTAGAACCAAAATTTCAACAGTATGTGGGTACCAATAGCACAAGCTATTCAAAGAAAGAAATTAAGATGTCAGGAGAGTTTCATGTACACTAAGGCAGAAGAAACCATGATACAGAGCAGTTGCTTTCTCTGGGACACTGCTTGCACACCAAGACATGGGGTAGTCCTGTGAGGAAAAGGCTGGAGAGCTGCGGCAAAGCTTGGGTTATCATTAACATGTTCTCTTGCCTCCCCTGCATTTCTTTTGTTTCTCTCTTGCTCCTTCATGTACAGCTGCTGCAACAAATTGCATAGTTTGTAAATGACAAAGGAGGCATCACGGTCTAATGGAGAGGGTGAAAAAACCCAGTCGATAGCAGGCAGCGTTATATTCTGCATTATCCCTTTCTAATGTCTCAGGAAAAGCAAGTCACTTTTAAGTGAACTGCAACTCCTCCTGCCGGCAAGGCAAGAGGACAGAATGGTTTGGGGATTTTTTTCTGTCCCAGAAAGACATCCACTATGGGAGAAGAGCTGGTTTTAATCACTATCAGAGGTTTCCTCTGGAAACTCACACCTGGGGAACGAAGTGAAAATCAAAGCGTTTCTTGTTGCCCCAGCCAAGGCCCCCTGAGGCTGCACCCCTGGTTGCCCAATGACGCAGGCGTGGACTGGAAAAACTGGATGAACCCGCCTGCCTCCTGATAAAACTAGACATGGAATTGCCCACTGGTGTCAATAAACTCCTTGACCCATTACCAAAGGCTTAAAGGTCTCATTCATGCTCACCTATTTGAAGAGCTATCTGATGCAAAGGCCCTGAGTTAGGATCATAGTCAGATATCTGGAGAAATGGGGGAACCCAGCTCCAATCCCCTCAGGACCCTATCCAGTCTTGTGCACCTCAGCAGCCCTCCTCACTCCCCTAAAGACACCCCGAACTTGTGGGAATGTTGGTGGCGGCGGTAAGTGCAGTAGAGTTTCTTCCTCCCCTTTCCCTCTGTATGTGTGTACACACATGTGCCCATTTTTATGTAATATGAGAACAGATTTTTCCCTTACGTAACTCCCGTGCTGCATGGGGATCCAGGTGGTTTATGTTTCTATGACTTTTTTTCCCCCAAATCCCTCTGGTTTTATTGCCTCCATTTAAAAAAAAAAAAAAAAAAGAAAGACTTTTTTCTAATTAGTGGAGGATTTCTCCTTTCAACTATGAAAAGCTTTAATAGTCCTTAAATTTCTGTCAACCTTTTCTAATCTTGTTTTCAAATGTTTGACAGATTAATATTAGAACACCTTATAAAACTGCCACTGTACACAAATATTAAAAATACATATTATACACATATTTGGAACAAATCCTAAGCGTATAATAAACTCAAAGTATTTACTAGTATTTCATTAAAAAAAAACCCCTCACAAGTAGGGATGGACTTGTTCTTACTGTGCTTTCTTGTGTCAAGATTACAGTGAAGGAGTAAATGACGAATTTTGGAATGGTGAAAAGTGTTAAATAGAAGGTTTAGAAATGTCTGCTTCAGATATGTATTGGAACAACAGGATGCCTTTGTGCCATTTTTTATTGGTGCTCAGTATGAAAACAGGGTAGGTGGCAGAATATACAGTCTGTGACAACAAGGTAGTTATTATAGAACAGAAACACACACCAAGCTATTATCCTGAGGTTGTTCATGATCAGGAAGTCTTCTTAAACAGCATGAATTGGTTTCACCTGTACCACCAACCAAAGACCAACAAACTTTCCCCAAATTCAGTCCTTCCAGTCATCGAGGAGCAACTATCACTCTGAAGGAGTCATCATTCAAGACTTGTGAATCTCACCCAGCACCCGCCGCATTTAGGAAAGAAATTCATAAACTACTCGCGCCATTCCTGATCAAAAAGGGTGATCAGTCATTCAGAGAAGAAATCTCTCTTTCCTTCACACACTACTGGTTCAACCACTAGCAAGCTGCCAGTGCTTAGATTCACAACTTTTATCTAAATGATGCCCGGTCTCAAACACAAAGTCCCAAGAAATCTCACAGTGGAGGCAAGCCAGGAAGGCAAATATAAGCTCATCTGATCCAGAGGCTGACACTCAAAACTTGGGATAATCAGCATCCAGCCCAGGGATGGAACTGGAACAGTCTTAGAAGCACCATCACCTTCTTTAAGTAAGTAGGTGACACATCCATTCTGACCATCTCCGGGGGTTCTGTAGCAGTTGAGAGGGGGAGGTTGAAGAATAGGACAGAATACTCTGTGCTTTCTGAAGAACGAACTATATATGATTAAGAGGCAACTTCAAGATCCTTGTCAACTCCTCCAGAGATGAGGTGAGCTGATGAAATGGTGAGAAGTACTAGTAGTTCACAGATGACACAGTTATTCCTGCTCACCAGCACAAACTACCGTGCTACTCCCACCCTTATTGCTTAATGCTTTTATGACAACTTGTGGAGCTGATACCAACTAATGCAGACGTTGCTGATGGGCAGAGAGGGAGAGCCATGCCACTGGTGTAGCCTCCTTTAACACTGCACAGATTTGCAGCTGGTACTTAAGGAGAGTTCCTGGATCCCCCCTCAATGATAAATGTTCCCTTCTATACTCTCCAGTTGCCTGGGCAAGTGAAAAACCCCAGTTGACAATCACTAGGGTGTTTTGATTATCTTTTAATTATCTTTTGACAGAACTATAACAATGTACTGTAGCTGGCCATAAAATCTACTACAAAAGAAAATATAACCAGAATAAACTTTCAGTGTGTCTCCTAGCAACTCAAACAGGGGTGTCAGACCTGAGTTCTGCTCTTCACACTGCATCTGAGATGAAATTCCAGGTTTTGGCCCTCATCTTCAACACTCACTGTTGTGATGTTGTGTTAAAAAATGCTTAACACCACGGGCTGAAGGATGTAGCTGGCAGTGTTATTCTGACTGAAAGGAGTACTACATGGAAAACAGAACATTTTCTGGTCTGAGGCTATGAAAAAGTCTCTTCTAGGAATGAAGGACTATGTCTAACCTACTCATCTCCTCACCCATGTATAATTACATTTCTCTGATGTTGCCCTCCTTATTAGAAATATCTAGCAACACATCCACTTGAAGGCAAAACACCTTCCTCCTCCTCTGCCATTCCCTTAAGGTTTACTAACCCCCCTTTATTCAAAGTAAACACCCCATTGTAAATGCTTTTTCTTTGAGGAGAATAAAACTAAAGAAAAACCTGACAAATCCCAATCACATTATTTAATGTTGCACAAAGGATGTTGAGATAAACTATGCACTAAGATGTACTTATGGGGTCCATAGCTAATGGCGTAGCTTTAGCAGCAATAATTATTTCTGAAGAATAGACAAAAAGGAGATAGGATGAGGGAAGGAGGGACAGAGAGAGAGAGAGAAAGGGAAAGGCAAATTTCTCTCTGACTCCAGCCAAGTGACAATATTTATTAGCCACTTAAATGACTATCGCCTATTATCTTATCCACTAAATCTTGTTTTCCTCTAGAATAGACTACAAAACAAGGATTAGAAAAGAGGAGGGGGGAGAAGGACTGATTCTCACATTGGTGGCAATTGGGTCCCATGAGACCTGGCTATAACAACAGCATCGGGTTTTGCAGGCACAAGCCCACAAAATAACTGCACAGTAACAACAGAATGAGAACAAGAAAGAAATAATGCCACACCACCTTAGGTGTGTGGAGGAGAAAAGCTGCACTTCTGCAGTGAAAAGCAGATTGCAATGTTACAGGTGAAAGGCAGCCAACCGGATGGCAAATGGCAGGCCCTTAGCAAGGCAAAGGTTCAGGCACTTAAAGCATTGTGCAACATTAAAACATTCCTGGATGGCACTCTGATGCTGCAGTGTCAACCTAGAACAAGAATTGACAAATGGCTGTACTAACTTCTTGTGCCTCTGAAAGAGTAACCATCCTTTTCGCTAGCTGAGGATGAAAAGAGCACACTGTTGCTCCCTCATAATAAAGAATATATAGTTTATCCTTCACAGCCATTCCTGGCACTCCAGACTGGAAGTCTCTTGGCTTGGCCAACAAGTTGTCTGTTGGGGAAGGACTGTGATGCTCTTTTGAAGACATTTACATTGGAAATACACACGCTTTACCATTCTCACACAGTCTCTTCCCTAGTCACAGGTACTTCTGTACAACATTGGAGTGTTGTCACATCACTGGCCTTGTTAATGTTATTCACCCTGGAATCTGTTTACCCCTTTAGGTAGGATTTATTTCCACTCAAATGCAGTTTGGTTTAAGTTCTGATTCTCTGTCTTAATTTGAGAGAACAAAACAGGGTTTTGTTTACACTCAGGTTCTGTTCATAAGATATTTATAATGGGTTAATATATGACTGATAAATATTAACAATATTTTACACACATGAGCAACATTTCCTAAACTCTAGGTTGTTCTAAGAACATCAGTAGAAAATACCTAGAAGAATCATAAAAAATTCTTGACCTGTGGAACAGCCTGACTGCTTACCATTTATTAAACACTTTTTGACTCTATGTTAGCTTTCCATTAACACATTATAAACAGAACTTAAAGCCCAAATAAAGCTTATTAGGCATTTGTGTTTGGTTTTGAGATCACCATGAAGTAGTGAATACAAATTATCAGCAGATTAGAAAGTCAATATTTTTAACTCCTGGTCAGAGTATTTATCAAAACTAACACCTTCAGGAGTAAGTAATAATAGGAAATGACAATTTCTGGAATTAGATGTGCCAAATCATTTATCATATTTAATAATTACCATCAACTTCAATTTGAAAAGATCAGGCTGACATAAAGAAGTTAAATTATTAACAAGCTAACAACTTCATTTTCTCTTAGGACTGTAATTCATAAGACTTTTAGGAAACAGATTAGTTTCATCATGATGGGTTCAAGTTAGAGCTGGCAGCAATGAACGCAGCACATGAGAAATGGAGAAAGATGGAGCATGACCCTCACCCAGTAAAGGCCTTCAAGCCAGTAGGGAAATGCTTTGAGTACCCAGACTGGGCATCGCACCTCATAGAAACCATGTGCTTGGGCTCAAAGGAAATAAATCTTAGCAGAAAGAAACGGCTGTAGAATGTGAACTAGAAAAAGACCCTAAGTGTTTCAGCCATGGAAGTACAGGAAAGGCTGCTTTTCGCATTTTCAGATTATTGTGTCCAGATAACAGTAAAACCTATGGGAAAGATCAACACAGCAACTAGCTTCTGAGAGACGATGAGGCAGTGTCACTTGCTTTATTACCGGATTGTCTGAGGAATGCTGCTCTACAAAGCTCATATATTGAGTTTACTTAGGTGGTTTCCACTTACCTGTCTTCCTTCCATAGCTCCTCGCATTTCCTTGAAAGTTGAGCTAAATTCTCCAATGAAGTCATGCTTTCCGTTGGAATCCCAGTCCCAAACTATGCACTGGGGAGGCAAAGGGGAAAAGAACAAAAGAGCACATTTTTCTTCAGAAAATAAACAGGTTTTATTGAAAAATAACACAGGAGAAATTATAATATGCATTGGGTGGAATGTTTTATCTAGAAGGAAATCACAAGACATATTAAAAACATATTCTTGTCCAAATCAAAATGAAATGTCAAGAGGAATCTCAACATAGCTTGCTGCTGTCAGCTGTGTGTTACAGAGTTGGCTGATGAAAGCAAATTCATGTATTTTAGAAAGAAAGGATTCCTTGACTCTACCTTTTTGGTAGGTGTAAAAATACAGCATTATGTTATTTGCATGTTCATGGTCATATGGTGTCCTGAATTAAGAGTAACTTACCTCATTGAAGTGCTTTACAAATATAAATTAATATTCAAAACACTAGTTGCCGTGGGCAAACATTACCATTCTCATTTTTACAGTCAGTGAAGGTGAGACAATAGTTACAGAGATAATTTTCTGAAATGGTTTTGAATTTATACATGTCAGTGTTTGGTGCCTATATCTTGGCTGTTCCCCCGTGTTGCTCAACAGTGACTATTCAAACCAAACCTCACCGGTAGTCATTCCTAAATGCATGCATAAACATGAATATCTCAATGAGTTTTGGCTGTGAGAATTTAATTGTACAGACATTGCTAAATACAATTCAGCTAGCCAAGACTGAAGAGCATAGCAATAACTACATGCTTTGCTAAATATTATTTTTAAAACTGGCCCAACGACAACAAAGGGGCTCACAACTTTAAAGAACAAAATCCCAAATTCAGCCTCATGGTGTTCCTAGATAAAGCTCACATACACTGACAGAATCAGGAGGTCTTTACTGAAAATGTCCCGCTATAAAATGTCTCTTTTTCTTATTTTTTTTAAAGCAGAAATGCCTCAAAGCCATCTGCACAGTCATGTGAGGAGTGCACTGACATTTGGTTATGAGATGGCTTTGAGGGTAACTTTGACTCCCTCCTGAGGGCCAGGGTCTGCTAGGTCTGTGCATGGGTGTGGGGTGAGGACTGGACTAGTGGAAGTAGTAGAGGAGCTCCTTGCTGAGAAAGGCAGGAATGAAACATAACTGGGGGTGGTGGGGCAGAAATAGTGGGGTACCAGGCTTAACAACAGTGGGTTTTATCAGGCTACTTTGTCTCAGTGAGGCTCAGTGCTTTTAACCCAGCACTGGTGGTCAGACAACACAAGAAGAAGAGCTCCTCAGAGAGTCCTCAAGCCATTTGAATTTTGCTTGGTCCAAAGGCGCACTTTGAGTTCACCCAGAAGGGAATAGAAATCACTGGATCTTGGCTGGATCTTGAGTGTTAAATATTTCCAGAAAAGCATTTTATTGAAACAGGCTTCCATCTCTACCAGCAACACTTTCTAACCAGTCTGAATAATCCAGTCAAAGCTGGTATGTGAGCACCGTGGCCAATCCCTTTTCACTAGACCACCAAACCAGTGGTTTGTAAATTCACTTTGAGGGTAGGGGGAAAGACTCTATAGAAAGCTTGAGATATGGGCAAAATGACTGAATGCTTTAAGTGAGAGCAAATGGACATAAAAAGCTTCAGGAGAAAGACTATCTAAAACAACTGAACCTGCTACAGGCAGGGTCTCTCACAAAGTCAGCCTTAATGGGCATGCATCACCTAACATCCTCCCACCACAGCCAGAAGTTAATAAAGAGTTTCTTTCACACAAATGTTTGTCCATGTGAGCTCCACTGACTTGAAGCAGGTAGGAAGAGATTTGATCTCTTCACCTAAGCCAGTTACCTGAATTTATTATGCTGTTAAGTGCCCAGGAACCTTTTTTGCCTTTGTAGAAGCAACACAGGTGGTGGTTTCACTATATTCATGCCCAGAACTCCTCCAGAGAGTATACCACCACCCACATTATAATTTATGTTCCTTTTTTTATTTAATAATGACTCTAGCTTTCCTTTGAACTTTCAATGCTGTTTCATTTAGCCCCAGGAAGAGATTTAGTTCGATGCAAGGGGAATTTCTCCGATCCATATAGAAGATGGGCAGTGGAGGTACAAAGG